TTTAGAGTAGCATTTAGAGCTAAATGCGCTAAATGTGATTTTACGCGTAAGCAAAAACAGCCCATTACAAGGATAATGTTATTAACAATTCTTCCCGTTATAAATTGGGCTTTTAAGAGCAGAAATGTGTAATATGTTAGGGTTTGACCGAGATTCTCCTCCGATTTGTTAAGTGCACCTTAAGTTCTGAACACATTAAAAACGACGAGCTACGGGCCACAGTTTCCAATTCGTTATCTTCATTGTCTGAACGCTTTGTCCATGGCGACATGATTTTTTTGAATGCGTCGGCGACGAATTTGACATAAAAGAAGAGGAAGAACCTTATCCATCGCTGGTAAAATAGAAATAGATCTAATCTGGCAACAACCACAGTCGTCGCGTAGCCCGGTCGGCGCCAAAATAATTATCTACATAAGAGTATGTGGTAAAATAATTTTACAGCTATGGTCCATAGCTCCTCATTTTCATTGTGGTCGGGCTATTAATGTTGTGGCACAAAAGGCGTCCCTACAGTTTTATGTCGACATTGAACGGCGATTTTGTTTTAATGGGAAGCTGGTTTTCATTTTCAAGTTTTGAGCACTTCTAATCATTACACCACAGTGGCCTATATACGAGACCTATATTCATATAATTTTTTTGGATTTTGGTATCGATATTTGGAACATCGAGTCTTTTTATTCCGATGTTAATGGGTACCCCATATTTTTAAAGCGATACTGTAAATGAGTACCATATCGATACTTTCTGTTCGATATCGTGTCCCTAAGCAGCCCTACAACCTGATTGACAAAGGCTCAGTAGGTTATTATTCTCAATGAACTCGGATATTTGTTGCGCCATAAGCATCTCGAAAACTTAATTGGGATGCCGTCGGTGCCAATTGCGTTGGATTTTATGCGGTAAATGCACTTAGCTGCTTCAGTTTCAGCTACCGATACGAACTGAAATTTCCTTGAGGGCGATGATCTGGAAGAGGTTTTCATGTGTTGTGAGCTATTATGTACTGCGGAAGAATTGAATGAAGCAAAAAAAGCGCTAAGGAGATTAGGTTCGAGAAAACAAGAAGCCTCAGAGCATGGCCGTACGCATAACCTTTTCAAATTAGACCATAACTGTTTAGGGGGCAAATCAGTGTTGAGTTTGCCACAGTAGTATTTCTTTTTAGCGAGGTGAATAGAAGAGAAAGCATTATTCCCAGCTCGCTTATAAGCACTCCAATTGTCAATATTTGGCCTTCTTTTCCAAACATTGTATGCGATGTTGCGGTTTTTAATGGCCACTTTGGCTTCGCGGGTAAA